GGGGGCGGGGGCGGGGGCGATGGCGCAGACGGGCGTGTTAGAGGAGACGGGAGCAGGAGTGGGAGCAGGGCGTGGCAAGGGACGAAACGAAGATGAAGGCAGGAACGGTGGCAAGGACAGGGGGAAATGTGGGTGGAAGCTTGGGTGGAGGTAGGGTCTGCGGCGAATGGACAGGAAGGGACGGAGTTCTATGGAGGATGGTGGAGTCGTCGGGAGCGCGGGGAAGTTATGTGTGGATGCGAGTGTCCAGATGAGGAAGGGTGAATGATTTAACGGGAGCGGCGGAAGAAACGTTTACACCATATTTACTCCGTAATATATTAGCACACTATTTTTAGTTTATCTCATAAAGGTAGTGTAAGATCTTAGCGGTATATTAATGTAAAAGCCATAACGTGTGAATGAAGACATAAAATAACAAATAAAAACAATTTCAACATCCAAGACATTATAATAAATAATTAAAGGCACAATAAAACAATTTTGCAATAATAAGTATTTAAGGCTTTAAAGGGTGAAAGAATAAGTTGAAAACATCTTAATACTGTCGTCGCAATAATTTAAAATTAAGGGTACCATTCGGGATGTTTTTGGCTTCAACGTCGTTTATGATAGGGGATAGAATATCCGTTATCCATTTCTGAGTCAAGTATCTTACCACTATATACATTTTGTAGCTTGTAAGTGACCCTATGGGATAAAAATCGGGATTTGGAAATACATTTATAAAAATGTAACATTATATATTAGCTATTTTAGGCAGGGATCTGTTTAGAAAGATGTATAATAATTGCCCATTGATTTTTACATAACAAATTCAGTTCTTAAAGAATATTAAGAAAAATACAAACACTTTCTTAACTGTGTTTATTACTAGTGCATTTACCCCATGTATGAGTAAAGTTATCAGAAAAATATTTTTATTTTCGATGCTCGTCAGACGTAATGGATGACACTATGCCAACAACCCAAATTGAAAAATGCCAACCAGCTCCGAACAAGATTTTTTAAAATTAAAGATGGCCGTAGATTGACAAGGGAACTCAAAACTAAAAAAC